CTTGGCCGACTGGGCCGCTGAGGCCAGGGCCGAGGCGGAGGCCGATGGAGCAGCCTTCGCCGTCATTCGTGGCCAGGGCTTCAAGGAGTGGATCCGTCACTCCATGGCTGAAGGCGCAGGCGGGCTCCACGCCTATCGGCGCGGGCCCAGGGCATGGGCCCCTGACGACGAGTACAACGGGGCCCCAGCCCATGCCCCAGACCGAGTGAAGCTTGTGGCGAAGCAATGGTCAACAGAGGTCTGGCGGGTCAGGCGAGACCGCGATAGGTTTCGGCCGCAGCTCCCGCGCTCTGGCGGCGAGGCCCTCCCCAGGCCCTCAGCCGATGAGCTGCGCGCGGCCGCCAGGACCTTCAGGCACGGCACTGGCGTCGGCAGCGACCGCCTCAACCCGCGGAAGGCCGCGGACCTCAGCGACGAGCTTCTGGAGGCAGTCGTTGACTTCGGGATGAAGTGTGAGGAGATCGGCGGCTGGCCCGACGTCATCACGGACTCGCTCGTGGTCATGCTTCCGAAGCCCCAGGGCGGGTTTCGGCCCATTGGGCTGCTGGGCTGGCTCCCGCGCCTTTGGAGCCGAGTCCGTCAGCCCGTGGCGCGGCGCTGGGACTCGCAGATTGACCCTGGCGTCGCAGGCGCCTTCTGGGGGGGGCGCGGCCGGGCGGCCGAAGAGGCAGTCTGGTGGCAGGCCCTGCGCGCAGAAGCCGCACACGCACGTGGGGAAGGAGCAGCAGCGGCACTCATCGACCTATGGAAGGCCTACGAGCTCGTGGACCTGGCCATCATCCAGGGCCGTGGCGTCCTGGCTGGCTACCCTCGGGGCCTGCTGGGTATGGCCCTCACCCTGTACGCGGGGGAGCGCCGCTTCATGCTTGACGGTAGCGTATCCGAGCCCTACCTGCTGGACGCGGGACTCATCGCGGGGTGCTCGCATGCGGGTCGGCTCCTCAAGTGCGGCCTGCTGGTGCTCGCGGACGAGCATGCGCGGCTGTGGCGGGCGCTGGAGCCCAGAGTCACCCTCGCCATCATGTTCGACGACTGCTGCGTCGGCTGCCACGGACCGATGGCACAGGTCGCAGCCTACGTGGCCCAGGCGACGAAGGCGGTCATCTCACAGCTGGAGGCCCTAGGCTGCAAGGTCTCAGCAGCAAAGAGCGAGCTGCTGGCCAGCTCGCCAGAGCTGGCATCACTGGTCGCCAAGCTAATGGGAGGCATCGCCTTTCCCATCGCCGACTCGGTCAAGAACCTGGGGGTCGACTACTGCCTCGACGGCCAAGCGTTCGTGGTCCTCGAGAAGCGGCATACGAAGGCGGCATCCCAGTTGCAGAGGTTGCACGCCATCCGCTCGCAGGAGACCCCAGCAGCAGCTCGAGTGGCGAACGCTGGTCTGCGGCCTGCTACTCGCTATGGGCTGAGTGTGGTGGGTTGGCCGACGTCGCAGCTCAACAAGTGGAGGAGCCAGGTCAACGCCGTCCACCATGGGCACGGCCCAGGCAAGAGCCTCAGCCTCAGTTTCCTCCTCAGCAAGCGTCTGCACTGCGACCCGCTGTACGACCACGTGGCGCTGCCCATTGTCGCATGGGCCAAGGCGGTGCAGTTCAACTCGGACAGCAGGGACCTGAGGGCCCTGGGCAGCGCTTTCGCAGGGGCCAGGACGCAGCTGGCCAGAGGCGGGCCTGAGGCGTTGGCTGGACGCGGGCCAGCTGCTGCGTGCGTGCTAGCCTGCCACCGCCTAGGCTGGACCGCCACACTGCCAGGGCTGCTCACCAACGACAAGCAGCAGCCGCTGGACCTACGGACCCTGGGGGCCTCCACGCTCGCCAAGCACATCGCCGATGGCCACGAGAGGGCGCTGTGGCGGGCAGCGAGCAAGCACCCAGGACTGGAGCACCTGCGCGATGGAGGCGCCCTGTCCAGTATCAGGCGCACACTGGCACGCAAGCGCATGAGCAAGCAGAAGGCCAAGCAGATGAGCTCGGCCAAGAACGCGCTGGTCGGATGTCTCTGGCCCGTGGCGCGGCGGTTCTTTGAGGAACGCCCATTGGCCTCCTCTCCTTGGTGCCCCAGGGGATGCCCTGCGCACGGCGCAGTGCGGCACCTGGCGTGGCAGTGCCCAGCCACCGAGGTCAGCCGCGGCGAGTGGATCTCCAACGAGGAGGCGGGCGAGCGGTGCCCCCCTGGCGACATCCCCTTTCGCACCATCGTCGGTATGGCCAGCATCGAGGGAGACGAGGGCCCGCTCTGGCCCCGCGCTCTTGCACCCGAGCACCGAAGGACCCTGCCACCGCCCACCGACGCCAGGGAGGCGCGGAAGGAGGGTCATGCCGACTTGGCGGGGCAGCCGCTCTCGGGCGACCTCTTCACGGACGGGAGCGTTCTGGACCCCAGCCTCGTCTCGGCGCGCGGCGGCTGGGCGGTCGTCGTCATGGGACCCGACAGCGAGGCAGTCAGCCTCTTCGGCCCGCTCCCCTGGCCGTATCCCCAAGAATCAGGGGCAGCGGAGCTGGTGGCGGCCATCGAGGGCATCCAGAGCTGCCTACCACCTGTGCGGATCTTCACTGACTGCAAGCTGCTCGTGGACGGCTTCGCGGCGGGCAGGGCGCGGTGCCTGCAGTGGCAGCGGCCTTACCGCGAGCTCTGGGTGCGGTTCTGGGCGGCCCTCGACGACGTGGGGGTCGGCAGCGTCACCATCCACAAGGTGAAAGCTCACGCCACGCTGGCGGATGTGCAGGCGGAGCGTGTCACGGCCTGGCAGCGGCGGGGCAATCACAGCGCCGATGCCCGCGCCGTGCAGGGCGCACAGACGCATCCCAGCGACGACGACGTGCGAGAGAGGAGCCGCAGGCAGGATCGCCTCGTCAAGAAGGTCTTCTGCTGGCTGGGTTCGGCGATGCAGGAAGGCGACGCCGAGCTCACGGCAGCGGATGGGCACGAGGGCCCAGGCTTGGGAGCAGTTCGGTGCGATCGGCGCGGCTGCAAGATGCGATGGCGAGCTCACTGCAGTTTCCCCGACTGCCCGCAGCGCACGTGCGGGCGTCACGGGACGTGGCTGGACGTCGACGGCGACACGGTCTGGGCCTGCCAGCGGCGCGCGGGCAGGGGCGACGCGCTCGCGGGCTCCTGGGCCTCAGGGGCCGAGAGCAGTGGCGGATCGGTCGCTGCAGCCGCGGCGCCCATCACGGCGGGCGCGGCGCTGCTGTCCCACAGTCAGGCCAGCGAGGCACCAGCACAGGTGGAAGGAGACGAGGCGAGTGCAGGGCGAGTCGGCAGCGGCGCGCCTGGCGGCGGCCAGCGGGGTAGCCCACCGACGTCGGGGGGTCCTTCTGGGGCCGGTGGCGGGACCCCGCCGCTGCCGCCGCCGCAGCTCCCGCCTTGGTGGGGATTGGACGCCCACGGCTCCCACGACCTGTGGCGGGCAGGCAGCCACCTCTTCTGTGTGAAGTGCGGCTACTGGACGCAGAGCCGCAGGATGGCGGGCTTGGCAGCGGAGTGCCCGAAGGCCCCCAAGAACGATAGGCAGAAGGCGGTGCTCAGCAGGCTGAAGCGCGGCCTGCAGCCCGCTGGGGCGGGCGGCATCGGCGACCCTGAGCCGCTGCGGCGCATGCGCAGGCGCGTCGATGGTGGCTAGGCTCTTTCTTGCCACGCTTGCCGCCTCGCTCTGTCTGCCATCACGCGAACAGACGTGTGGTTTGCACGCGGCTGCTCGGGCTGCCCCTGCAAGGCAACCAAACCCTACTTGAGGGTGTTACCTTGCGGGGGGAGTCGCTGCTGCGAGGCGCATTCCGCGCCGCTCGGCAGCTTCGCTCGGCGCTCGTGTCCCGCTCTTGAGCTAGCTCGTGCCGTGCACGGCTCTCGCTCGAGCGGAAGTTGGACCAGGTGCGTAGGTGTCCACGCACTGGAGCGCTCCGTTTAATGTAGTGGCTGGCGCGCTTGCCGCGACGGCCAGCGCTTCTTGCGCTCCAGCATGCTCTGCTTGTGCAGCCAGTCGGAGGCTGGACCGTGGTGGTAGGTTCGCACACCGCCATGGTTGCCTCCGATCGAGCCAGCATGCTGATCAGCTCTGGTCGCAGGAGGGCCCAAGGATCACGAATGCCTGCGCCGAGGCGCTGCCTCTGGGGGGGGAGGGGCCCCGTGGCGTAGGCTGTACCCCGTGGGGCTCGGCACACGCCAGGGTTCACTCCCTCCCGCCCTCTTGGGCATCGTCTGTCGCTTGGCGCCTTCGGCGCCTCCGTTTAATGAAGCTGCTGGCGCGCCTTGGGCGCGACAGCCCGCGCAGCTTGCTGCGCTCCAGCCCGCTCTGTGCTCTGTGCGCGCCAGGCGGAGGCCGAACCGTGGTGGTAGGCTATGGCCGACCGTCAGGATCGCCTCCGAAGGTCACCTCAGAGCAAGTCGTCCCCGTCTGTGGCCCGGTGCCCAGGGGACTGTTGCTCTGGTGTGGCGCGCCGAGCTGTCTGCGAGCTGAGTCGCCGTGAGGGCTCAGATGCTTCGCTGATCGCCTGCCTTTGGCTGGGGCGGTCGGCGGCCTCAAGGCTCTCAGGCGAGTCTGCGAGTGTGCCTTGGGCACGGGCCAGGCCTTGCGTCCGCAGCGCCAGAGGGAAAGGCCATGGCCTCGGGAGGCTGTATCGAGCGGGGAGCTCCAGACCTTCTTGGATGCGTGGATCATCATCATCATCATCATCATCATCATCATCATCATCATCATTATCATCATTATTATCATTATCATTATCATTATCATTATCATTATCATCATCCGCATCCGCATCCGCATCCGCCCCCTCCTCCTTCTCCTCCTCCTCCCCCTTCTCCTCCTCCTCCCTCCTCCATCCTGCTTCGATCTGATCCTCATCCTCACCCCCTTCATCCTCCTCCGATTCTCATCTTCCTCACCCTGCCCATCCTCTTCCTCCTCCGATTACCCACCTTCGTCCCCTCTTCCTCCGATTCTCAGCCTCCCTTCATCCACCTCAGTGGCCTCCCCCCCTTGCGCCCGCCCCCCTTCCGAGGACGCCGCCGGGCCACAGACGCTGTCCGGCAGGTGCCCGAGGGGGCCGCCCTCCGCCGCATTGGCCTTGCCCGCCGCGGCGGCCCTCGCAGCGGCGGTCGCGCCGCAGGGCGCCCGCCGCCGCCGCGCAGCGAACCCGGATGTCGTTAGGTAGCGAGCGAGGAGGAGGCGGAGGAGGAGGAGGAGGAGGAGGAGGAGGAGGAGGAGGAGGAGGAGGAGGAGGCGGAGGAGGAGGAGGAGGAGGAGGAGGAGGAGGAGGCGCGCGGGCGGCCTGCCCACCGGGGTTAGAGACGCGCTGGCGCTGCGACGGCTTCACACTGCTGGGCGTCCCTCTATAGGGAGCCGCGGCCGCCGGGCAGTAGGCCGGACGCGAGCGACAGGCGCCGGCTGGACCTGGGCTGCGCCGGCTGCGCGGCGGCGCGTTGCGCTGAGACCGTGGAGAGAGTGGCGGCGCTGCTGCGGAACCTCGCCCAGCTGCCCGCGCTGGCCTCGCCCCACTTTCCCACGGCACAGGCGGCGGGCCTCCTCTGGATGTACGGCGCGGGCAAACTCACGCACCAGCCCGCCAGCCGACGCCCCGGCCGCGGCTGCCGCCTACGACGCCGCCGCGTGGAAGGTTTACGGGGAACTCGCGCGTTTGGGCCCCCTGCTGCCTGAACGGCGGGCGCAGCGCCAGGGCCTCCGGGCCCAACACGCGCTGGCGCCGGCGGTCGCGTGGGTGGCCTCGTGGGCGCAGCGCCTGGCCAGAGTGCGTGCGCGGACGGGCCCGGCGGAATTGGGCAACGTGGAGACCTCCACCCTGCCTCTCGCGGGCGTTGGCTAGGCAGCGCTGGCGGAGCTGCTGCCAGACGAGGGGGGGGGGCACCGGCAGCTGTCGCCCTAGAGCCTGCTCGCGCAGGACCCCCCCGACCCAAGCTCCGACGAGCGCTCACGCACAGGCTTGACACCAAAATACACCACGCCTTGCGGAGCACTTTTGGAGCTGAGGAACGGGCACTACTGCGTTCGATCCTGCGGATGGTCCCACGTGGCCGTCTGGCAGTTGGCCAACGGAGGGCTGAGCCAGAGGCTGGAGGACGCCGACTATTGCGCTACCGCGCGAACGTTCCTCGGCCAGGGCACTGCGCCGGTTGGGAGTAGCAACCGCCTCAAGACTGGCCCGAGGGCGGGGTAACCCTGCGGGCAGGCACTCTGCTGCAAGGCGCGCCACGCCTACCGCTGTTCCTGCGGAGGCGGCGCCAAAGCACGGATCCGAGATGTCGAGGACGTGCGGGAGCGTATCTGACAAGAGTGCGGTTTCCGCGCGGCCCAGCAATTGCCGGTCACTGCGTGGGACAGCTGGCGCTGCTCCGCCCTGGCCTGCACGGCCAGCGGCGCGGTTGATTCGCCCCCGACGAGGCCCTGCGGCGCTTACGGGGCGGCGCTTCAGGCGGAGCGTGGCGAGGGAGGAGGCCCTCCTGTATCTGGAGACGCAGTGGGGTGACATCCCCATGTTGTACGCGGACGTCAGAGTCCGCTACGACGTCCCTGGGGACGCCCGCGCCCTGACGGCAGCAGCGGACGGCGACGGCGTCTTGAATGCCGCGTGACAAATGGCGCGGGTACCCGACGGGCTGGGTGCCTTGGCCGCTGCTCCCGATGGCGTTTGAAACCAGAGGGGCCGCCACGACCAGACGGCACTCTGGCACCTCCGCTGGCTGGTGCGCGACCGGGCCCAAGGCCTAAGCGATGGCCCCGCCGCGGAGGCGGCCGCCAGCGCCCTCGCTCGGCGGCGGGGCGCCGAGCTCAGCGGGGCGCTCCACGGCCACTGCCCAGCAACTGCGCACCGGGGCGGGCGGCGAGACAGCCGCGGCAGCCGCGGGCCGGCTGGCGGCCGAGCTGGCTGGCTACCCGCGGATGGGGTTGGGGCGCGGCGGGCTTCGAATGCATCGCCTACCAGTTCGTCGCGGCCGGCTGCGTGGTCAGAGGTGGCGCCGCGCGGAGACTGTGTTCACCGTTCCAGCAGGAGGAAGATCGAGGGGGCGAAGGAAACAGAAAGGCAGGAGGAGGAGGAGAAAGAGGAGGAGGAAGAGGAGGGGGAGGAGGCGGAGGAGGAGGAGGAGGAGGCGGCGGATGAGGGAGAGGTGGGGAGGCGGCGGAGGCGGAGGCGGAGGAGGAGGAAACGGAGGGGGGGGGCGGATGCGGAGGAGGAGGAGGAGGAGGAGGAGGAGGAGGAGGACGGGGCGGAGGAGGAAGGGGTGCAGGCGCCGCCGTCGGTTCCGTATTCTTCGTCGTTGCGGTCGTCGGACGTTTTCGAACCCCTCCCAGCAGCGTCTGGGAGCTATCGGCGGTTTTCGTTGGTTCCCGGAGGTTCTCGTTTCGCGAGGGCCTCTGGCGGTCGCGCCGCGTTCGGGGAGCGCCAAGGCCATCGAAGTCACAGTTTTCGGAAGGCTTCGCTGTCTCCTGAAGGTTCCCTCGCTTCGCGAGGCTCTCCAGCAGCCGCGCGTCGCCAAGAGCGTTCCAGGGGCGCCCGCATCATCTCGCACGGTCGCACGGAGCTTGCCATTGCCGCCGCCATCGTCGTCGTGGGAATTGTTCGGCAGGTGTCGTTGGCTCTCGCGGGGCGTGGCGAGAATACCCACACGGACAGGTCGACTGCGGAAATCTCCGCTTGGTCCATTCGGCATGGGCATCCGAGTACCCCGGGCAGTCCCCACTCGGTTTCGCTGATCGACGTGCGCGTCGCCGGGCACGTTCAGGTGCCTTCGGACGTCGACTGGCTACCCCGCTGGGGTCCACTCGGATTGCGATGCGCTGCGCACGTGGAGTGCCCCTGACAGTTTTCACCAACTCACTGGAGGTTTGCCGAGAGGGCGTCAATCTTCCATCTTTCGGGGGAACGCAAGACCCGAGTAAGCCTGAACTCGGGTTTGCCGACGTTTTTTTGACGAGCGCGTCCTGGGTTTTGACGGTCCACTTTTCGTGGGATGTCTGCAGCGGGAGCTCGCGTCAAATTTCAGATTGGGCCTCGTCATTTTTATGATGGCCCCGTCGGGCCAACCCGAGTCCCCCGTACCCGAGTCTTACGTCTCCCCGAATTTTGGAGGTTGTCTCGCCTCGAGAGGCTCTCCAGCAGCCGCGCCTCGCCGACAGCGTCCCAGGCGGTCCCGGATCGTCCCGAAAATCGACCCAGCTAAGACCGCCTGTCGTTCCAGAAGGCCGTCGCACCAGACCCCGAGGCCGCCTGAAAATGATTCCGGATGAGAGAGCGGTCGAAAAAAGAGGAGGTTTGGGTCTTCCGCTTCCCAGAACTGAATCACGGCGATGGTGCCAGAAGGGTTTCCAGTCGGTCCCTCCCCACGTGGGTTTACAAGGTCTCTGGGCGGCTGCGCATCGAGAGCGCAAGGGCATAGTGGTCGGGGCTATCGCTGGCTAAGGTTATCGAAGGCGCCTACGGGGAATCACCGCCGCGGCCAAACGTTTAGGTCAACTTTGACCACGCTATTTGACCATGCATTCCCCCAGCCGTTGTAAAAGCCCTTCGGGGAACACGTCGGGGAGGAGGAGGAGGAGGTTGAGGAGAGGGAGGAAAAATGAGTACGAGGAGAAGGATGAGAAGACCTTTTGGGAGGTTCTTGGGTCACTCTTGGGGCCTCCTCCTGGGAGATTCATGGAGGCCTTTCGGAGGCCTCTTGGGTGCCTTTGTGGGCGTCTTGGGGGCCTCTTTGACCGTCCTAGGGCATTCTTGGCCCGTCTGACGCCGTCGGGAGCCGGGAACTCTCCGGACCGTATTGAGACCCTATTGGGGCGCTTCAGGGCAGTTCTGGAGGCCATCTTGGGCGTTTGGAAAGCCTCTTGGGCCGTCTTGGGGCCGTCGTGCGTTCTCGTCGGCCGTTACGGGGTCATCTTGGACGCCTCTTAGGCGATCTTGGGGCGATCTGGGGGAGCTCTTGGGTCGTCGTCGGAAAGAAAAGCAACTGCCAAAATCCTTTTCAAACCTGAAGCTAATCAATGAATTTGGCATCCTCGGGATTTCCTGGAGGACCTCGAGGAGGCGTTTTGGTTCGTCCTGGAGGCCTCTTGGGCGCTTCTGGCGCCGTCGTGGGCTCTCTCGAACCATCTTGGCGGTTGTGGAGACATCTTGGGACTGTCTTGTGAGCCATCTTGGGGCTATCTTGAGCTCTCTTGAGGCCGTCTTGGAGGCATCTTGGAGGCCATCTTGGCCGTCTTGGAGCCGATCGGGCCAATGGAGACCGAAATTTGGGAGCTTTCCGGATGGCCGGCGCAATGGACCGAAGCCCCAGGGGGAGTCTTAGAAGGAACCAGAAGTTTCCTGAAGTTTGGCACGCTGGGCAACCCTGTAGCAAGTTCACAGGGGGTGACGGATCGAAGACGCCTAGGGCGAATCACCGCCCTTTGCCTTTTGGAATCCCCCATGCGGCCGAACGTTGTGGCCAGAGCTCTGCCAAGCTATGGGACCACGTGTTTCCCCAGCCGTTGTGGAAGCCCTTGAAGCAGGGGCGAGGGGAATGAGGAGGACGAGGAGAATGGACGAGGAGGAGGAGGAGGAGGAGGAGGAGGAGAGGGAGGAGGAGGAGGAGGAGGAGGAGGAGGAGGAGGAGGAGGAGGAGGAGAGAAGAAGGAGGAGGCAGGCTAGGTACGATCGCGCCACATCTGACGTTCTACCCCTCCCTCCCATCCCTTCCCATTGTGCTGTTGTTTCCTGTATCCGAACACCCGTGTCATAGCGGACCTGGAACTCAAAACAAGACCCTTTAGCGTGTTGTGCGGCGCAATCGGAAAACGGGAGTTGCGTGTATAGGGAGAGTTGGTAAATGAGCAGGAGGATGTGCAGGAGGAAAAGAAGGAGCATCAGCAAAGAGTAGAAGGAGGACAAACAGCAGCAGCACGAATTGGAGTGGAAGGAGTGGGAGGAGCTGGAGGACCAGGGGAAGACGGAGGAGGGTAAAGGAGGGGGCGACAACGATGATGACGGATTCGGATCTGGAAAAGTGGCCCGCGTTGGGGCGAGAGTGAAATTCTGAACGACGGGAGCAGGCCGCGATCCGAAAACGAGGCCCATGCTGGTGCGGGAGCACGATTTGGAAGGACCGAGAACGTCCGAACGGGGAAAACAAACATGCAAGAGAGACCAGCTCGCCCACACCACCTGCGCAAAGAGCAGCACGCGGAGAGGGGGGGCGAACACTCTTGGCACACCTTCGGGGGAGCGAGGAGACTTCTACTCCTACTGTGGAGTTGTAGAGGGAGGCTCGGGGCTCGGAGGAGCTTCTTTGCGCTCCTGCTAGGACGTGCGCGCGCCCCGCGGGCGCCCGCCCCCCCCCCCCCCCACACCGGCAGAAGAGCGGCCCCTCGCCGGAGTGGCCTCTGGGTGCGGGCCCGCAGGGGCCCCCGCAGCACCCGGCCTGGCGCCTGGATCTGCCCACCCGCCGCCCCTGGAAGCAGCGCGCCGAAGGCCTCCTCCTCCTCCTCCTCCTCCTCCTCCTCCTCCTCCTCCTCCTCCTCCTCCTCCCCTCCTCCTCCTCCTCCCTCCTCCTCCTCCTCCTCCTCCTCCCTCCTCCTCCTCCTCCTCCTCCTCCTCCTCCTCCTCCTCCTCCTCCTCCTCCTCCGTAGCCATTTTGGCTCAAGATGCCTAGTTCCACAGTGGAACAAGTGGATACCGCTAGTCCGCGGCCAGTGCCAGGGCTCTTGAGCCCGACAGCTTTGTTCAACTCTCCGTGTGCCTCCTGCAGCCCGCAGGTGAGCTTCCTCAGTCTCTCTCGTCCATGGCGCCTCCGCAGCAGCGCAGCGCCTATGTCAAGTGCTACTCCTGCTCGTACTCCTGGAACTACAAGACCAACCAGACGTGCTACTGGTGCAGCAAAGCCTTGGCGCCGTGGACAGACTCCCCGCCTCCAGTTCAAGGCGCCTGGGCGGCCCGCGCCAAGGCCGCAGCCCAGGCCGACTCCAGCTGTACCCAGCAGCCCAGCCCCGAGACTGGATGGGAACCGTGGTCGTCATGGCCCAAGTCCCGCCGCCGCCGAGGCAATGGCAATGGCAAGAACCAAGAGGACGACTGGTGGGCCAACAAGAACGACACCCCCACGGCGCGCTCCGCAGAGGACATCCTCGCGGAGCTCCAGGCGATCGCCCCCCACATCGACAAGGCAGCCATCGACGGTATCAAGTCGCAGATCCCGCCGCCCCAGCCGCAGAAGCCAGCCGACCTCAACGACATCTACAGCCGCGCCCAGGCCACGGAGCGCCGCTGCAAGAACAACCTGGAGAGGCTGCTCGAGAGTGAGCAAAAGGCGCTCAGCTGGTACACCGAGCGCAAGGCGGCGTCGGAGGAGGCCGCCTACAAGTTGGCAGAAGCCCAGGCCGAGGCTCAAGCCGCTCTCGATGCCCTCCAAGTCGCTCGCAAGGGCGGCACCGCTACTCCCACGGCCTCGCAGCAGAACCCGACGTTCAACCTCACCAGCCTCCTCGAGGACGGTGACATATCCATCGAAGCGGGTTCGGCGTTCGATCTCCAAGGCCTCGACATCGACGACAGCGATCGCCAGGCATGGGAATCCCTTCAGCAGCGCTTCGCCACGGAGCTCAAGGCCAAGGTCACCGAGCTCTTCGGCAACACCGCCAGCCGCATCAGCCAGCTCCGCACAGAGGCCAGCACCATGCGCACGCGCTTCGCCGCCAAGCGACAGCGGTCCGACGAGGACGGTCACGCCCGAGAGGGAGGTGGATCTCCGCCCGCCGCCTCGGCGGCAGCAGGCGAACCCCCAGCGGCAGCCGCAGCGGACGTTGATGGCTCTGCGGCCTCATCGACAGCGGCGCCAGGCGATGAGCCTCCCGCGCCTGCTGCTGGCGCTACTTCTGACGGCAGCTTCGCTGCACAGCCTGTACCAGCGATCAACAAGGACCCCGACCTCGAAGACAAGGCACAGAAGATGCTCAGCCAGATGCGCAAGCCCACCGCGACCGCCGCGGCTGGAGCGCAGCAGCCTCTTTAGCCGACTACTACCCGACCCTGGGCGGAATGGTGAGACGGGACGCCTACCGTCAGAGACCAAGAACTACGACAACCCACCGATCATCAACACAATGGACGCAGTCCTCGACCCGTTCGACGAGCTGGCCGAGTTGGACGCCCACATCGATTTCGCAGCCACAGTTCAGTATGCTACCGCCCCGCCTGAGACGCTGTCCTCGGTTGGGGGCGATGAGGCGGCACAGTCCGTCGACCCAGTAACATGGGACCCAGGGCAGCCGCAGCGTGCCGCGCGAGCTGACCCTGATGCCGCTCCGCCCGAGACGCTGTCCTCGGTAGGGAGTGATGAGACGGTCCAAGCTGTCGACAAGCAGTTGGTACAGGAACCAGGGGATCCGTTGCCAATGGCACACCCTGATGCCGCCCCGCCCAAGACGCAGTCCTTGGTAGGGGGCGATGAGATGGCGAAAGCTATCGACTCGACCGCTGTGAAAGGCCCATGGAAGCCCAGCAGCCCGAGACCCGACCCCAGACCCGTCTACCAAGACGAAGGCCCTACGAATCCCACGCCGTCAGATCACTCCCTGTTCTTCTCCAACATTACCCAGTGGGGGCCACAGTCGGAGAAATGGCTGGCAGGACCAGGCAAACAATATCAGATGGTGGCATTGGTTGAAACACACATCTCGCACGGTAAGGCCCCTCTCATCTACGACAAGCTAGCAGCGGATGGTTGGAGGATATCATCTACTACAGCCACGCCGACCAGCAGATCCGACGGAGGCAACACGGGCGGCGAGATTATCCTCTCCAGGTACCATGTCCAGGCCACAACCTTCAACCACCTCCGCGACCTGGCCATCTCCCAGCGCAGGCCCGACCCGTTCCGAGGCTTCACGCCCATGGCATGGCACAGACGCTCGGGCAACCTGGTCGTTATTGCAGCATACCTGGAACCCCACAGGCAGATCGAGGGTGCAGTGCACGATGAGCTACTCTCGCTGGGGGCCTTCGTTGCTATGCTCACTGACCCTTGGATCATCCTGGCCGATTGGAATATGACTCCTGAGCAGCTCGCAGCGACAGAGTGGCCCGCCAAATGGAATGCTACCATCGTGCGAGCGCCTGGATCTGCCACGTGCGACAAAGGCCAGGGACTCACGCTCGACTTCGCATTGGTCAAGACTGGCATCGAGCACACGATCTCCATTCGCCAGTGCCCCACCGTCCCCTGGGCCACCCACGTGGGCCTTGAAGTTCGAGCAGGCAGTGCAGACCCCTGGTGGTATCAGTCGATCCATACCCCCAGAGCATTCCCCACAGTGGACAGACCCAGGATCCCACCCGACCCCAACAGCAAGTCCGCCATCAAGAGACGTAAAACAGCAGAAGCTCGAGCAGCACGCCTACGCGAACTACCTCCTGAACTCCAACAAGCAGCAGCACAACTCCAGCCTCAAGACGAGCCCGCAGCACAGGAGCCTATCCCTTACGCTATCCCGACCGACCTCTGGGAGGAGCAATGGCAGCAAGCAGTACCCACACGTTGTAAGCAGCCCCACGCGCACTTCGTGTACACTCACTGGGCGCACGACGCCGACGACCTCAACCTCAAGTACGCCAAATGGGTCACGGCCCTCGAGAACACCATGATCAGCCACCACCAGATCGACCCCAAGGAAGCCGCAGCATTCACAGGCCGCGCCCAAGGCTACCAATTGTCCTGGAAGAAGACGGCCGCCGCCCCAGGCCGCGTTCACGTACATGACCCTCAGTCGGAATGGTGGGCAACCACGCTCACCCTCATCAAGCGCTACGCTGCGCTTCACGACAAGCCCAAGCACACAGCGCTCATGCAGCAGCAGGCCTCCATCATCCAGCAGCGCGCGGACCACTTCAGCGCTCACGTTCACGACCTCCAGTTCGAGAAGGACGAGGACACCATCTTCCGCTGGTTTGCACTCGTCTGGGCCCCGCACTTGGACAACGAGGACACCGACGACTTGGTCACTATTACTGCTACTTGGGCCTCCAGAGCGCTTTCCGCCGCCCTCGCTAAGTCCAAGAGGGCCTACGGCGCCTGGCTCGCCAAGCAATGGAAACACCGCCCTGGAGTACTACACGCCCATGTCAAGCCAGCGCCCGTGCGTCACATCGAGGCCTACACGACCAACCTGACCATCGCCGACCCCACCGTTATCATGGACAGCAAGAAGCAACAATGGCAACAAGTATGGCAGGCCACCGAGACCCCCGACGACATCCTACAGGCGCTATCAAAGGCCAAGGCAGCAGCCGCACACCAACCGCTCGAGCCCATCACAGCCGAGATCGTGCATCGCTTTCACGGCCGCATGCCACCCAGTAAAGCACATGGAGTTGACGCACTTGGACCTCGCGACCTCCATCGACTACCAGAACCAGCAGTCGAAGCCTATGCGGATATCCTCAACGCAGTAGAGCAGGCAGGCATTTGGCCACTACAAATCTCAGGCACTATTGCAGCCCTAGCAGCCAAGAAGTCTGGAGGCGACAGGGTCCTCGGCATGCTACCTCACATGGCCAGACTTTGGTCTCGCATCAGATCGACTGCATCTACTTCCTGGACCCAAGGACTGGACGACTTTTGGACTACAGCCATCAAAGGCTCCTCAGCTCTCCAGGCCGCCCTGCACAGGGCCTTGTTAGACGAGACAGCCTCAGCACTTGGCATACAGTCAGCCACATTGCTATTGGACATCCAGAAGTTCTACGACAATATCAAGCTCGCCAACCTCATTATGGTCGGCCTCAACTGCGGCTTCCCCTCCATCGTTCTACTTCTGGAAGTACAGCTATACCTCGCGCCCAGATTCTTGCGCAGTCGACAATGGGTGAGTATGCCTATCTTCGCCTCCAAAGGCATCATCGCAGGCTCCCCGCATGGCACGACCTTGGCGCGACTCATGTTACTTCCTATTCTACGGCAAGCCCAAGCTCAGGCAGAGCTAGCCCAGATGTGGACCTTCGTAGACGACACCGTCCTTCGAGTCGAAGGAGTCCTACGCACACTTCAGAAGCACCTCCCCCGTGCCGCCAAGACGCTCTGCGACGGTCTAAAGGAGTTCGAGCTGCCCATCTCTGACAAGACGGTCCTCATCGGCTCCACCCCCAAGGTCCGCAAATCGCTAGCCAAGAAGTTGCGGCGGTACGACATCCCTGTCACAGCGACCGCCACGGCCGTCGACCTCGGAGTTGACGCGGCCGCGGCTACTCGACGGGTACAAGCCAAAGCCAGGAAGCGACAGAGCTCAGCCGCAGCTAGGTTTCGCAAGATACACCGACTACGGAGCACTGCACAGCAGGCTCGAATCTCAGCAGGACTGTGGCGTACTGGCGCTCTCCCCGAAGGAGTCTTCGGTCATCAGGTACACGGCCTTGCTCGACACGCTCTACTACGATGGCGCCGTCAGGCCGCCATCGCGGCCACGGGGGCAGCAGCGGGCCGATGCCTCACCTCCCTCCTCGGCGCCACCTTCGACGGCATGGACCCAGGAGTTTCCCTAAGGATCGAATTCATCGAGGCTTGGCTCCAGCACTGGATACGCCACCCGAGCACGCACGCCAGGATCATCAGAGCATGGCCAAGGATCAAGACCACTTTGCTAGCCGCAGGCCCCAAGCTGTGGCGCAGGGTCAAGGGGCCCACTGGCGCGGCCATCGCGACACTGCTGGAGGCCAGCTGGGAGCCGACCTCAGCTACCACGTGGAGGCGCACAAAGGACGGCTACATCGAGGAGTGGAACCTCCCCCCTGCCCACGACCCTGACCTCCCCGACGCCGACATCCACACAGCATTGCAGGACCTCAGCGAGGATTTGCACAGGCTCCTCTGGACTCAGGCCGCTACCCATGACCATGGCGACACGCTGGCTGGAGGAGCGGACATGGTCACTATCCGCATTGAACAAAGGAGGCTCCTCGCAAACGGTGATTTCAGCGACTGGGCCCTCAACAACACCGTCATCAGTGGAGGACAATGGACCAGGGACCGCCTCCACAACTCGGGCTACCAGATCGACAAGAACTGCGACCGATGCAGCGCAGGAGTTCCTGAAACCCTGTTTCACCGTATGTGGCAGTGCGAGGCGAATGTGGGACCTGAGTTTGAGGCCAGTGACAAGCTACTACCGCGAGCTGTGGCGGGGGCCGAAGCTGACCCTGCCCTGTGGCTCCGCGGCATTCCCTCCGTCGCTCTCACTACGCCCGCGTTCGAGCCATTGACTGGGATGGGCGGGTGGGAGTTTGCTGGTGCGGTTCGGGATGGGTTGCCGTCGTGGGAAGGAGCTCGTAACGCTGAGGGCGAGTTGTTTCTTTTTGGCGACGGGTCTGGCGGCGCCTTTTCCGACGACGTCAGACGACGACGTGTTGGTTCTGGCCTCGCGGCCCTCCGATGGGACCCTCCTTCGGCCTCCTGGGCCCTCCACGCGGGCCTCCTCGCCCCCCTCCCAGGCCCCCGCCAGACTGTCCCAAGAGGCGAATTGCATGCGTTTTGCCTGGCTCTTGAGACGTGCCAGCAGGATTTCACGTTTGTTACTGATCACCTTGCCCTGCAGCGCGGCTGGCAGAATGGCAGATGTCTCCGACCTGGCAGCCTCAGAGGCAAGAAGAAGAATGGGGATCTCTGGCTGAGAATTCGGCACCTCGTGCAGGATCGATCTGGCGGCTGCTCTTCGGTCTCGGTGCTCTGGACCCCATCTCACGCCGATCCCCTCACTTTAAATGGTTTCCAACAATTTATGGCTCTCGGCAACCAGCAAGCCGATGAGCTCGCGGGAAGCGCGGCCCACAAGTCGGCCACCCTTGCCCTCCCGCCTGTCCCCAGGACCGATGAATATGACGCTATTGCAGCCATCGTCCGACAGAGGGCCCGACTGATCTTACGTTCCTTAGGCAAGAATTCAGAGCCTCGAGGACAGTGGCCAGAAAGGCAATCCACCCAGGAGGCAGCCCCTCGCTCTCAGTTGCAGACCGCGATCGCGGCTTCTCAGCACAAATTCGAGCGGTGTGCAGACAAATGGAGATGCCCTGCCTGCCTCATCATCGTTGACGCGTGCCACGTTATTCCAGCTGCCGCCACTGAGTGTGTGCCGCCTTGCCCCCTTCCCGAGTTCGCTGCGTGTGGAGAGGTGCTGTGGTCGAGGGGTCCCCGCGTGATCAGTGGCAAGTTGATCCACCCCTCCCACACTTTGGCCACCATCCCCAAGTGGCAATTGTTCTTTTGTGTGAAGTGCGGCCATACGGCCACGCACCAGGTTAAAAGCCTTCTTTTGCCGTGCCCTCTCTCCCACCAAGTGGGAGAGCGCAGGGCCCTGGGACCCACTGGCAAAGGCCTCGAGAACCTCAGCAGGATCAGGCGAGGCCTCCACCCGTCCAGAGCGGGTCCCAGCAAGGCTGTGCTAGAGGCTTTGCACGTTTCGGCAGCCGAAGCCGCGATCGGTTCCTACGCGGCGGGTGCTGCCACCGAGTAAATTGCGAGGCCAGGGGGGCCTGTCGCGGTGGGCCGTGGGATGTCGCCCCCCACGGCCCTCCGAGAAATACTGGATGGCCCCCCTGGCATTCCTGGGTTCCGAACGGACTACGTCCGATTGCTCCACTCCACTCCACTCCCTCCTCCTCCTCCTCCTCCTCCTCCTCCTCCTCCTCCTCCTCCTCCTCCTCCTCCTCCTCCTCCTCCTCCTCCTCCTCCTCCTCCTCCTCCTCCTCCTGCTGCTCGCTTGCCCGGGGCCGCTTCTGCGTGGAGCCGACTGGGTGGTCCCAGGGCTCGGCCACGGGGGCCGAGAGCGGCGAGGAGCCTCTGTCGTGCTTCCGCCCCAGACGCCGGTGGCCTGAGATCCTCCCCTCTCTTCCCCCCTGTCTGAAGGGGCCCCGAGACACACAAATAAATAGACACACATAAAAAGATTCCCCATATTTTCCCATATTTTCAGGGTTTCTGTCTTCCCCCCCCCCCACCTCCCATATTTTCCCATATTTTCACGGGAATCGACGATTGGTTGTGTCTGTGTGTTTTTTCCCCTCCTGACTGTGGGCCCCGGGGGCCCGTCCTGGGGCGCTCTCTGGCCAGGATCCCACGCGAAAGCCAGCCGAGGCGATGAGAAGCCTCCCAGGGAAAACCGACAGGAGAGGGGGAGGTCGCGTCAACGCCCAACATGGGTCAACGCTGACGCTGGTCAGGGAATCCCTCGTCGTCCTCTCTGGCCGACTCGGGTGCGGGGGCCGCCTGGAGCCCGACGCCCCGTCCCTGCTCTCGGCCCCGGCTCGGGGGCCGCTGTGCGGCCGGCCTGGGTTTTGCGGCAGGGCCTCGGTGGGATCGGGGGTCGGCGCGGGCCCGGGCGCGTCCCCGACACGAGGGCAGGAGGCATCCCAAGCCATGGGATGTCGATCCTCGATCTCCGAAGGCCGTCCTTGGTCAACGGCGTGGCGCTCATCCGCGCGGGCCAGGGCCACAGAAGCCGGGGCATGGCAGGGCAGGGCTGTTAGACCCGGTTGGATGGAACGGAGGTTCGGGAATGCTTCGGCACCACGGCTGCAGTGCTCTCGGGTTCGCCAAGGAGGAGAAAAAGAAGAATAAGACATCGGATAATCATAATAATAAAAAGAAAAATTAGAAATCGAGGAGGGGGTGTAGCGGGCGGTCCCAGGAGCGGGCACTGTTCGCGAACAATTGAAAAAGATGTCGGACCCTTGAATCTCGATCCTCGATCCTCGATCCCCGCGAATCCTCTTCGATCACTGGTTGCGACCTACTGGTCGCGAACAAGTGAAAAACATATGAGAATTTTCGAGTCTCGATCTCCGCTCCCCGAAGCTCATCCTCGATCACGGGGGGGGGGCGCCCACCCGCACCGGGTGCGCGTCAGACCAGGCACCCAGCGCTACCATATTCGTCACGGCCCCGAGGCCGGGAGCGGTCTCTGCAGGGGCCAGACATTGCGGCAGACCAGCCAGGGGGGAGGCGGAAGGTCGAGGAGGAAATCGAGAGGAGGAGGAGGAGGAGGAGGAGGAGGAGGAGGAGGAGGAGGAGGAGGAGGAGAGGTCGAGGGAGGTTGCCTGGCGCCCAGCGTCCGGGAGCGGCTGCTTTGGCCGGCGCGCTCCCGAAGCCAGGCTCCGAGGTGCCAGCGCCGCGGAGGGTCGGCAGCAGCAGCGGGGCCAGCAACCACAGCGGGTGCCGCGCGGAGCGCGCCGCCCCCCGGCGGGCCTTGGGCGGTCGGGTTTGGGCGGTCGGGTCTCGGGAGTCTTGGGACGGGGGTGGTCAATGCAAACGGGCTCAGCCAGAGCGCGGGATCCTCTTCCCCCTCCCTCTCCTCCTCCTCCCTCCTCCTCCTCCTCCTCCTCATCCTCATCCTCATCCTCATCCTCATCCTCCTCCCTCCTCCCCTCCTCCTCCTCCTCCTCCTCCTCCTCCTCCTCCTCCTCCTCCTCCTCCTCCTCCTCCTCCTCCTCCTCCTCCTCCTCCTCCCTCCTCCTCCTCCTCCTCCTCCTCCTCCTCCTCCTCCTCCTCCTCCTCCTCCTCCTCCTCCTCCTCCTCCTCCTCCTCCTCCTCCTCCTCCTCCTCCTCCTCCTCCTCCTCCTTCCCCTCCTCTTCTCCCCCGCCGCGTCCTCGTTTTTGTTCCTCCGCCGTCCGCCTGGCCTGCCGGGAGCCAGCCAGTCAGCTCAGCCAGATCCTGCGAAGCCAGGGTTGCGCTGGCCCTGGCTAGATCCTGCAGCATCTTGCTAGGCCTGACTGGCCCGGGTGCGCATTGACCTGGGTCGGAGCCCCGATGTCCAGGCCAGCTGCGCGTAAGAGAACGGCCCTTCGCTGGGTGCAGCTTTTTGTGCACGGCCGAGCTCCGACATGCTCAGGTTGTGTCAAATCGGCTGCACGAAAGAGTGGCCCTTCGCTGGAGTGACCTTTGGAGGCGACAAAAGAGCACGACGGCAGGTTTCTTACTTTTTCGGCCTCCTGGGGCGCGTTCCGGGCCCAGAAACCTCCAAAGAACGATCAAGGCTGAGAAATCTGAGAAACCAGTCCTTCGGAACGGATCCAGACGTCTTGGGAGCCAAGCGGTGAAATGAATCAGGACATCGGATGTGTGGGAACGTTCTCGGGTTGTGTCGTCGATCCCTGTACGCTTTCCTGCCTAATCCAACGGCCCTAGAAAGACAGAGTTGGTGTCGCTTTGAACCCTCACTGTAAGGTCGCAGGTGCCCCAGGAGCCTGTCATTGTAAGACTGCAGGCGTCGCTTAAAATCGCTCTCACACCCCTCTCTTTCTCTCTTTCATCTCGTGCCATCCTCTCCATGCTTCTCTCTCCCTCTCTCTCTCTTTGTCTCTATGTCGTTGCTATCTGTCTCTCTACCGTTCCATTGGTTTCATCATCTGTCTCCCTGTGCTTCCCTCGATTTCTCCACCCCTCCCTGTCGCTTACTCTCGGTCTCTCATTCTCTCTGTCCGTTTCTCTAGCCCAACGCCGCCGCACCCGACGCAGCATTTCCGTTGGCAGTGTAGCGACAACAGCGGAGGGCAACACCCTGCCTGGCAGCGCGAAGTCCCGCTTGGGATGCCGGATGCACGCATCCGCAGTGCTGCATGGAACCAAGCGTCGCTTACCAAATCGGCGGCACACCACGCTTGCAGCAGAGCGGGCACCCCGTGGCCGCAGTGACCGCACGCCCACGGCCACCGCCACAGATGCAGCAGCGGCAGAACCAGCAACAATTGGAGCCACAACAGCGACGCACGAGAAACCGGTTGATAGGATCCAGACCTTGGACCACAAGATGAAACCTTTCGCGCAGAAGCACGACCCGAGGGAATCGGCGATGAGGGAACTGCCGAAAAAAAACGGCACAGGAGAGGTGGGCGCCACAGGAAACAAGCGAGGACTGGAAGCGAGAGAACTGCGACTGGAAGCGGGAGAACGGCGGGCGGATGCGCAGGCGACGGCGCGAGGGAAGGATGGGCCGCAGCGGCGGCCTCCCTCTCGCACGGGCCCCGCGCGGGACGCAGACCCGCGGGCTCGCGCAGAAGAGGAACGATCCGTGTGCTTCCTCTCCTGTTCCTTGTCCCCTCTCGCCAATGATCCCTGTCTCCTCGTCCTCCTCATCCTCTGCCTCCTCCTCGTCCTCCTCCTCCTCCTCCTCCTCCTCCTCTTCCCCCTCCTCATCCTCCTGCTCCTCTTCCTCCTCCTGCTCCTCTTTCTCCTCCTGCTCCTCTTTCTCCTCCTCCTCTTCCTCCTCCTCCTCCTGCCCCTCCTCCCCCTCCTGCCCATCCTCCTCCTCCTCCTCTTTCTCCTCCTCCTCCTCCTCTTTCTCCTCCTCCTCCTCCTCCTCCTCCTCCTCCTCCTCCTCTTCCTCTCCCTCCTGTCCGTAGCGTCCAGGCCGAAACGATACCGGTAGACCGCGGCTAGCCTTCCAATTTTCTCTGAGCTCCTAAAGAAGCGCCTCCGCCCAATCGTTCCGCTTGCTGCGGCGGCTCTCATGAGTTCATCGCCGTGGCTGGCCATTGGAAGCACCCGTGGTCGGCGGGCGGCGGCGGCTGGACCAAGCGTAGCAATCGGCAGCGACGTTCGCGACAAGCCCGAGTGGTCCAGGTGCAACGGATGCAAGACTGAGAGGTCGGGGAGCGCTGGTCAGAACGACGGCACCTCCGACAAGTGCTCCAAGTTTTCAAGAGCGTATCTCGTATCGCTCGGAGGCCGCAGGCGCAGCGGAGGACCATCGAGGCGTTCCCCAGGCGTGGCCGAGAGCAGGGCGAAGGGCAAGCACCGAAGACGCGCTAACGGCAATGTAGGCATCGGCGATGTAGGCCTCGGCATAGTAGGTGGGACGGGTTCGCGGCCAAACCAATCGCAGGAGATCGTGGTTCGCGCTTTCCTGCAATTCGCTGCGTCGTTTTCGCTTACATTCGCACACCTGAAATGTAGGAATGTGTGGCTCGTGATGTCCCACACTTTTCGGGGGCGAACAAACCTATCCCGCTTTTGACCACCCTTGCTTCCAAGAGATACCAAGCGATGCCAAACTACGGCCTGTACTGGTCATGCCGTTTGACGAGGAGGCGCGTGGTATGACTTGGTTTTGCCTGGAAGCGAAAGCGGGGTAGGTAATTCACACTGTGATTTTTGTTCTGCGCGAACTCGGTGTCACAAACATCGGATTCCCAACATCGCCGTTAACCAATATCGCCGCGAGCGTGGCCTTGGAAGCAGACGCACGACAAGCCCAGCAAGTGCCCCGCCGACGAGATCAGCAGGCTCAAAGCGAAGATCGAGCAGCTCGAGACCAAGGCCAAAGAGGGGGAGATGGACGTCGACAGTTTCCCCGGCGAGTCCAGCAACGCCGTCGGCACCGCGGAACGCAAGCGTGCCGACTGGCTGTGGCTGGCCAACGAGATCAAGATACTCAAGTCGCGCGCCGCGGGCGCGCCCGACTACGATGACAAGATCGAAGCACTTCCAAGCCGAGTTTGACGCGCTGCGGAAGAGGATCCACGACGCGAAGCCCATGGACACCAAGCTCCAGATTGCAGGGAGGGATGTCAAGCGCAAGGAGGCTGTCGTGGCCAGGCAGGCCGAGCAGGTCGTGGCGCTGCGGGACAAGGCCGCCGAGGCCAGAGAGGGCGATGGAGGGCGCCCAGCAGCGCCTCGAGCAGCTCGAGCGGGAGCTGGCGCAGGCCGAGGCCGCGCGCGCGGGAACTGGTGGCAGCAGGCGTCGCCAACGGCGTCGGCGGCGGGCATGGTGCTGACGGTGATGGAGGTGGTGCGGGCGTCCTTCTTACCCTCAGTTCGCTGTCAACACGTTCGCGGCGGTGGCCACATGCGGAGAGCGCGGCATCGACCTGGCCCGGGCGCAGCTGGTGTCCAAGCTCCTGGAGATTTTCCTGCCGCAGCTGCTGGCGGCGCCCATGGCCTGGCCCAGGCCGGCGGATGGCCGGGGCGCCGCGGGAGGCAGCATGCCGCGCGATTCGGGCCAGCACGTGGAGGCCGACCCATTGGCGAACGCACACATCCGAGGAGCAGCCCCGCGAGGCATTCGAGCAGGCATGGCCAAACGAGTTGGCACAGTCAATGCCCACCGACATGGAGGACCTGCGCGACGGTGCTCGCCGCGCTGCCAAGAGCCCACTCCTTGCTGCCGCCTCCACGGCAGGCGGCGCAAGCGCACCGCGCTGATCGGCGCAGCACCATGGTGGACACTTTCGGCAACGTCACGGGCGCCAGCGGCAGCGCGCCCACATCGGCCCCAGAGGGAGCGCCCGATGCCGCGGCGCGAGGCGCTGCGGCACCCGTCGTCCTCGGCGCCGCCGGGCGCGGCGAGCTCCGCTCATCCGAGTTCGCCGCGCCGAGCAGCATCGCGACGGCGACGGGCGGCCTCGGGAAGGCGAGTCGGCCAGGCGCAGAGGGGGGTTGGTTCTGCCGGGCATCTTGGGTCGCGTCCTGGTGGCGCGCTGGGGCGTCGAGGGGGCTTCTGGGGTCAGCTGGAGGCAATGGCGGGCGTCCGGGAACGATCTCTTCACGAGTCGTAACTCGCGCTCTGGAGCCGTCGGGGGAGCCTTGCGAGACCCATTTGGGAATTTTTGGGAGGCCCATTGTGGGGCCCTCTTGGGGCCGTCGTGCGGCTCTCCTGGGCCGTTGCGGTTGTTTCTGGGGTCTTCGTGGGGCGCCTGGAGGCCGTTTTGGAACCTTCTTGAAAGCCTTTGGGGCTGCAGGGGGTCGATGTTGGATGTTTCTTGGGCCGTTGTAGGCCTCGTGGAAGCCCAAGAGGCGAATGTGTTGAACATGTATATTTTCCCTGGGGACTGTGACGACTCTTGCTTCTGGAGGCCTTCGTGGAGCGCCTCATAGTAGTTTTTGTCACACGCCTCGGGAGCCTATGGAGAATTGTCTGCAGGCAAGCTTGGGCGGTTTGGACCGAATCGTCCCCCTCGTCGGCCGTCCAGAAGGCCTTCGGGGACCCTCTTGGCCCGTTGTGGGGCTCTCGTGGGGACGTCCTGCGACTGTCCTGGGCCGTTGCTGTGGTTTCTGAGGTCTTCGTGGTGCGCCCGGAAGCCATCGTGGAGCCTTGTTGAAAGCCTCTGGGGGTGTCGGGGGTCAAACTTGGAGGGTTACTGGGCCGTTGTAGGCCTCGTGGGGGCCCAAGGGGCGAATGTGTTATAAATGTATGTTTTCCTGCGGGAATGGGGCGACTTGTGCTTCTGGACGTCCTCGTGGAGCGCCTCGTGGACGCGTTTTCAAACGTCTTCGGGGCCAGGCAATCTTGGGCGGCTTGGACCGAATCGTCCCCCGCGTGGGCTGTCTGGGCAGCCTTTGGGGACCCTGTTGACCCGTTTTGAAGCCGTCTTGGGACCGTCCTGCGGCTCTTCCGGGCCGTTGCTATGGTTTCGGGGGTTTTCGTGGATCGCCCGGAAGCCGTCGCGAAGCCTTTTTTGGAGCCTGTTGGGCTGCGGAGGGTCGATATTGGAGGTTTCTTGGGCCGTTGTGGGCCGCGTGGAAGCCCAGAAGGCGAATGTGCTGAAAATTCCGCTCCCCATCGGAATGCTATGTTTTTTTGTTTCTGGGGGGCCTTCGTGGGGCGCCTCGTTGTACTTTTTCAAGAGTCTTGGGGACTGATGGGGCCGTCTGGAGTCAATCTTCGGCGTTTTGGAACGATCTTTCGTCGACTCGTATCTCTTTTGGACCGTTCCAGGACGCTTTTGAACCTTTTTGGCCCGTTCTGGGGCCTCCTGAGGCTCCATGTGTGCGGCCGGCGCCTTTGCTCCCCCCCCCCCTTCCGAACCGGCCGGACCGGGCCCCCAGGGGAAGGGTTTGGGGAGGGGGAAGCATCTCACACGCCGTGACCCCAAGGGGTCGGCGGATTTCAGGGTGGGGGTCCGGCGTGTCCAGGTATATGCTGCAAGCAGGCGTCCGCGAGGCGCGGTTCTCCCGAATGAGGAGCAGGGGGTTCTGGAAGGTGCTGTTGTACTCGTGTCCCGGTTTCTTCTTCCAGCACTTCGGATCCTGGACCGATAGCAGAGACTGTCCGTAAGGGCTTGACCCCCTGCCGCCGGCCCCCTTCTTTCGGAAAGTGGGGCATGCAGGAGCTATGTTGTGAGGCATGGGCGCCGTCGTGAAGCAGCGTCGGCTCTTGGAGCGCTCTGGGGGGCCCTCTTGGGAGCCTCTTGGGCCGGTTTGGGACCATCTTGGGCGCCTTGGAGCACTCTCTTGGGCCGTCTCGGAGGCCTCTTGTACAGTCTTGGAGGCCTTGTATCAAGGATTGTAGCCTCGAGGGCGCGAATACTACGTACTTTACGTGGGTCTATGACTTCCCGCGCGATTCACGAGGGATCGTGGTTTCGGGGATGCAGATATCGTGTAATCTACGAGAGAGTATTGCCGCGGAGACGCGAATATTGTGCAACGTATCAGGGGAATCGGATCTCGGGAGCATGAACACAGCGTAATTTGGAAAGATCTATGGCCTCGGGGACGCGAGCATTGCGTAATTGACTAAGGATTATGACCTCGGGGGCGCGAATCTCATTTATTTTTACGTGTCCCAGGACCCCCCAGAAATGTTGTAATCCCCCTAGTGAAGGTAACCAGGGCGATTTTCGGCTCCCCCCCTCGCGCGGACTTCAACAATTCACAGTAGGAAGCAGAACACAGAATTGTAGCCTCGGAGACTGGAAACTGGAACGGGAGCAGGGAGCAGCAAGCCTAAGCCGCGGAGCCTGATGGCTCCGCAAGGGGGCCCGCAGATCTTAAATGAGAAGTTGGTCCTGGGGATAGCCTTGCAGTCCATGGGGACCGCTCTCCCTCACGTCAGGTCTCATCGAGAAAAAGTGGATTAGAGGATCGAGGATGTATGTCCAGAGCCCGTTTGCGGACATCTGGAGGTCTCCAGGGACCCCTGGAGACATCTGAGCGACGCAGGACAACGGGTTCGTTTTCACCGACGTTGGCGCGTAAGTTGCCCGCGTAAGGTCGCGCGTAAGAGCCTTCGCTTCCAATGTAGCGTGACGCGTTGGTGGCCCGCGTAGACTACCGCGTAAGGTCGCGATGCCATTTCGCATAACACCCGTTTGGTTTCGTCGTTCATGTGGAGATTGCGTTTCGGAGGGCGCCGCCTCGGAGAAGGACGAAACGAAGGAAGGGAGGAGAGAAGGGATGGGGCGAAGGAGGGGAGCCCTCGATGAGTAGCTGTAGGGCAGGAGGCTTCGAGGAAACAGGAGGAGAAGGAAGAGGGAGGAGGAGGAGGAGGAGGAGGAGGAGGAGGAGGAGGAGGAGGAGGAGGAGAATAAGGAGGAGGAGGGACGAAGAGGAAGGACGAAGAGGAGGGGGAAGGGAGGGTGAGAGAGGAGGAGAAGGGAGGGCGGGGGGGGGACGGAGGAGGAGGAGGAGGAGGAGGAGGCGGAGGCGGAAGCGGAGGCGGAGGGGGAGGTGGGCAGGCGGTGATGTTGCTTGATGATTGAGGAGCTTTGGCGACGACGCCCCTGAAGGCCCAGCAAGGGCCCTGGACCCCCGAAGGCCTCTACGTATCCTCGATCTCTCCTTCTCGCTCCTGGCAATTCCTCCTCGCTCCTCCCTCCTCCTCTTCCTCCTCCTCCTCCTCCTCCTCCTCCTCCTCCTCCACCGCCTCATCCTCCCCCGCCCACTCTCTCTTGCGGCAGGGTGCCGCCCCGAGAGCCGTCGGGTGTGGGGGGGGGGGGGCGCTTTCTGCTCCGGCTCCGGGGGGGGGGGGCGCATGGTCCTTCCGCCCTCGTCTGTGGCCGTCTGTGCCCAGCGCGGCAGGCACCAGTCAGTGCCTCCGCCTCCCTCCCCCCTCATCCCCCTCATCCCCCGCCCTCCGCCCTTCTCCTCATCCCCTCCTCCTCCTCCCCCCGCCCTCTCCTCCTCATCCCCCTCCCCTCCCCATCCCCCTCCCTATCCCTCCCTCCTCCTCACCCCCCCGCCCTCCGCCCTCCTCGTCTCTCCGCGGCAAGCGCCCCTGGCGGGATCCTTCGCCGGCGACGCCCGCGCAGGACGCGGGAGGCCGGCCGCTCCCGAAAGAGAGCCGCGGGCGGCCGAGGGCGAGCGCCGAGCGCCGAGCGCCCCGCACTGCCCGTCCGTGGCGCGGCCGCGGCGTCGTGGA